GTTGGAGCGGCAGAAGGAGTCAGCATCAACATGACTTTCCTCTCACAGGAGGGGGACAGGGTGTTCCACAACGCTGAGGTAGGAATGACTCCCTTGTTCATATAAATCTCCTCTATTGTATGAAAAACTGCCTGTCGGCTTTGCCCGACATACTTTTGGGTTGTTTACTACTATTAACCCGCTGAAGTTATGACTTTGCAAAAGTTATTAAGGATTATGTTAGAATTTTATCGGAAATCGTTTTAACCCCCTTCAATTTTGAATTTTGCAAAACTCCGTCTTATTGCATATTTACACGATACAGGGGTTGGTGATAGTGCTCGCTTTGAACATCAGAAGGTTGCTGATGTGATTCTGAGAAAAGTAAGTATTATTTTATGGAAAGTGGACTTAGCTTTGCTTGATTCTAGGGCTTTCAATAAATGGTCCTGACTAAGGTATCAGCTGATCTTAGTCAATTGCGAAGCTAAAGTCTCATCCTCCACCTTAAAATGTCAGTGTTATAGAAATTTAATCAAATCCAGCCATACTTATTTGATCTGAGGTGAAGTTTAAAGTTTCGAGTTGATTTCTAGTTGCATTATAGAATAATAGTACTGTACTGTATGTAACACCTTTTGTGATAGGTTGGTCCAGCACTCAATGCCAAAGAATCTCCTCTCAGCATCCTTACAGTTAGTCCTGGAGAGTTGTTCTTCCATACAAATAAGTAAGTCTCCCTCTCCTATCGTATTTTGATTGTTTTTGTTGTTGTTGAAATGTATTATATTTTTTTCTGTGGTATCCCAATTATTTAATAATGAAATTTTGTCAAATGGACTAGACATTGAAGAGCAAATTGATCAAGATATAGGTTGGTGGAAAGAGCTTTGTTTGACACTGCTCTATTTTAAAAATAATAAAGTTCACATTAGTGCACTTATTGGTGTTTAGCTTACTGTACAAGAGCTGTCATCAATTCCTTGCTTACTGGAATAGCCTAGCTACATTAGTTATTTCTACTATATTTCTAAAACTCAACAAAGAATCAGCTTGAGTCAAGGGAATATGCTTCTCTCACTTGTACACCTCTTATTACTTGATAACATACATCAGCTTACAATAGCAAATCAAGACAGAAGTAATTTTATAAGCTAACTTAATTAGCTTAAAGAATGGTCCAGCACAGCAAAACATGTACTTCATTACATTGGATAAAAGTGTATTTTTCAACCTCACATAGCAAAATTGAACGGAAGCTGTTTTATGAGCTAACTTAAAAAACAACACAGGCCTACGCAATTTGTTCTAAAAATTAGTTATGTTGAAGGATGATGCTGTTATAACAAAAAATTAGTGATGGGCGGATTCAACAAAATGTCGGTACCGGATCCGGATCTTGAAAAATTCGGATCCGGATCCACACACTGTCATAAGGGCGGGTTAAAAAAAAAGGTAATTAACAGAATGCCAATTTAAATCATACTGTTTAAAATTAAATTGGTAATGTTTAAAGATTAATACATCTTATATATAGAGTAATCTCCAATTGAGCCCATAAGGGTAATCCCTCATTTTTTGGGGACACTAAAACTTTTCAAAATCATAAAATGATACTTGGTCCTAAGTTTGCACGACCACCAAAAGGGTATCTGTATATTTTACAATAGTTCGATCTTGAGTATGGTATATCGTGGTTTTTGCAAGCAGCACCCAATTTATTTATGCCTGAATCACCTCTTGTTAATCTCTTCCTTAAATTCGTTCCAGGTCCATAGTACTGATAGACGGGTATGTGAAGTTCTACAGGTAAAATACCCTGTGCCTGTATACAAGAAGACTGTACTGTGTTCTAACATAGAAAAATATTAGATGGGGGAGTATTGACTTTTTTATTCACCCTGTATGGACACAGATAATCTACTTGGACACAGACACAGGGTATTTTACCTGTAGAGTTTCACATACCCGGCTATCAGTACTGAGGACCTGGAACAAATAACAAAGAGAGGCAAGCAAGGGGTGATCCAGGCAAACGAGACCGATGTTTTCCCGATTTTATTACTAACACAAATCTGTCTGTATCTATGTACAAGACCGATTAACCGGATAACACGGTGGTAAAAATTATTACCGGTGTAAACATTACTACTGGTTATTATTACCGGTTTGGTAAACATAATTCCTGGTGGAAGTGCATATGCCCGGCTATCATTACTGTGGACCTGGAACTAAATTCGGTGGTAAAAATTATTACCGGTTGAAGTGCATATGCCCGGCTATCATTACTGGGGACCTGGAACAAAATTCGGCGGTAAAAATTATTACCGGTTGAAGTGCATATGCCAGGCTATCATTACTGTGGACCTGGAACTAAATTCGGCAGTAAACATTATTACCGGTGGATGTGCATATGCCCGGCTATCATGACTGTGGAACTGGAACAAAATTCTGCGGTAAAAATTATTACCGATTGAAGTGCATATGCCCGGCTATCCATTACTGTGGACCTGGAACAAAATTTTGAAAAAAAAACTGCTATATGCAGTACTGTGTATTAGACTCCGGATTTTTCGTAATCCGGACCGGATGTCCGCCACTTTAGTCCGGATGAGCGTACATGGATACAACAGACAGCTTTGTGTTAGTAAAAAATCGGGAAAAAACTGGTCTTCTACATGGATACCTAGACAGCTTTATGTTAGCAAAAAAATCGGATCCAACCCAAGATCCGGAATTGTTTGGATCCGATCCGGTGCCGGTTCCAGCTTGGATCCGGCGGATCCGGTTGTCCGATATCCGGATCCGACCATCACTACAAAAAATTAAAATAAAATATAGTTAATCTCATGTACAAAAATAAGTATCTTATCGGCTGAATGGTGTAGAAAAGCTGAACCTCTCTTATTTCCAAGTCCTGTTAAACTTTGGCTCTTACTAGAAAGAGATATTTTACATTCAACTTATGAATTTATATTATTTGCAATATCAATTTGTTTAAGTTTAACGGCTGCTCTGTTGCTCGCAGGTACTTGAGACTACAAATTCCCGAGGTGGGAGGAATGATCGTGTCGAGCAGTGATAGTCGTCATGCCACACAGGAGGGAATGCCGACTCCCAAAACTGCCGATGATGTCATCAACGTACTTGGAGACCAGTCCGGCAAAGAGTTCACCATATTCCGTGAGGCCGGTGATGATGACTTTGTCAAAACTGTGGCTGTCGGTAAGTTGTCACTTTCAGTTGAGATAAACTTAAAAATAGAATTTGTTTTGAAAACTATTTGTTGGTCCTTTCCATCTTTGGAATGAGAACTGTTTAAGAAGTTGAAAGTTTATAAACTTATATTTGAAGATTGATTAGACAAATAAAGGATTGATTAAATGGCATGATGAATATCTTGCTTTAACATCACTAATAATCAAGTAATAGTCAAAACACAATTTTTTATAACAATTATTAACCATTGTGTGTAAAACATAAAAATTTGAGGTTAAAGTATGATCCAAGCCACATATATTTAAAATTACTTTAAATAACTTGGAAACAAGTCTAGTCAATAGCTTTAAGATTGATAAAACTGAAAGGTAGAAAATTCAAATGTTTGTGTTTTAAAATTATCCTTTGTACTTTCCAGAATTTTGAGAACATACAATTCCCTTCATTAATTTGTTTCTCTGGGATTTTAGTTCAAAGAAAGTATTCTTTTCAACAACGTGAACCAAATTATAGGAATGATAGTAGTCATGACTTGTAGTAAAGACGGATAAAACTTATTTTAAAGGCCGTGAATTTCCATGGAAATAACCTATTTGTTAATCCTAACCACCTAGAAGTAGGCTACATTTTGCATCTGATATATATATAATAAATTTTTTTATGAAAACGGTTTTCATTTCTTGACAGCTTTTAACAAATCAATCACTTTTTACAGGGATATTTGACTGTGTCAACAAAACATGGAGCATCTACGCAGACAACCCAAAGACTAGCAAACCCATTGTGGTTTTGCCCATCGAGATTAAGAGCTCTAAAAACAGCACCACATGATTCAGTGTTCGCGGACGATTGATTGTACCATTGACTTTGGATACTGAAATAGGCATACCATCTGTGTGGACCAGCTTTAGCCAGTTTTTTAACCAAACAGATGATCATAGTTGACTAAGCGTCTCATATTGTATGCTATTATTTAGGTTTAAATTCCTTTTTTTTATTCAATACAATAGTTGATTGGGTCATAAAAGATGCAATTGTTCACACAAATTGTTAATTCAGTTCGGCATGATTCAAAAGTTAGAAAACAATGTTTAACGGTAGCACATGCTTCCGCATGCTTCATTGAAACAAGTTAATAGATATTTTATAAACTGGCTATAACGGAAATGGAAACGCTATAACAGGGCTGTTCACTATACAGTAGAGTATTTATAGTCAAAGGACACATAAAAGTCATGTACTTAATCAAAAATGTATTTTTATGAGGATTATGAAATAACTTTATTTATTTTTGTAGCCTAACTTAGTTGAGTTTACCACCTAAAATGGATGTGTTCTTACTTGGAGCTGTACTTAAATAATTTTGAATTCTAGGTCTTATATTCAACTTTTTGTCTGGGATAAATCTTAAATATTTTTATTTTTCTTTGTTTTCTGTCAACAAACTTATATTTTTTTAAGGGAAAATGACAAAACCCTAACTTCATTACTACCTAACTAACTTTAACCTGTTTTTAAATAGCATTACCAATTAGCTAAATACTTGTATACAAATCAAAAGAAAGTTTTCATTGAGCATTTTATCAAATACTTTACATATTTAAGTTAGATTCTAGATTGTTAATCAAATTATTAACTTTAATTGTTACTTTTGATCTCTACACCAATATTCCTATGGTTTTGTAAAATAATGTACATAAATGTTGTAACTTTTAATACAAGTTATTTAATTCAATAAATTTTAACTTTAGAGCAATTGTTTTATTTAACCCTCACAGAAAGATATTAATAAAACCACTGTGTCGGGTGTTACTTGTTTATTAAATAACATAAATTACAACCATAAGAAAACAGAAGGCCGTTAATTGAGCATGGACACGATAGTTACTGCGACTCCGACTGCTACCACAGCTGACACGACCAACCAATGTCGAGCCAACAGAGATACTTCTGGCTTCTCATCAACTATCTTCTTTTCTCTGTGCTTCTTCTTGCCAGACATCTTCTTCTCAAATTTCTCAAGTTCTTCTTTGTTACGAAGTTCTTCTTGGAGCCTTTTCTCTTCCTCTTCTTTTAAGCGTTTCTAATGAAAAAGTGAAAGTGTGTAGTTTGGTAAAACACGCTTCATGACGTGTACTGGTATTGTGATGTAAAATAATAATGGGTTTCAAAAAGGCCAATCAGGCAACTAAGTATTTATAGCACGGACAATGATTATTTTACCAAGGTCTATACTTAAACTATGGGTGGTTAAACTGTAAACTGATTGATTGATTAAACTGTTTATTGTCTACGGGCTTACAAGACAATACTTACGATCAGCATTGTAAAAATCACGCCTTCATTTAATACTTTGAACTTGAGCCAAATATTTCATGTGAAAATTATTCTAATTTGTGTCCTGTAAATTGTTTAAAATTTAAATATCAAAAGACGCTATATCTTTTCCAGTACAATATAGTGTCATTATCTTCACTGATTCGGGAGTTTATTGTTATGGATAGAGTTTAGCTAGCTTACCTCAGAAAATAAGGATCCAGGGAATACATACACATAAAAAAGTTCTCGTAACATAACACTGAATTTTATTCTAACGTATGACTCCTTCTGAGAGTAAATTGGCTTAAGTCTAGTCAGTTTTCATGTTTTTAATAGTGACATCTCTTTTGCCCCACTCTTAGGTGGAGTCATGTTATGAAGAAATAGTGTTATGTTATGTGATTTTCCATCCATAAGTCTCTGAACTCTAATTTTCATAAATACGCTAGCTGAACTATCATCACTTTCCAAGATAAAACTACTAAATTAAACACATGACTTTCCTTTGAAATGTAACAATATTCTTTCTGTACTCTTAAAATTACCACACTTACTTCAGATCCAACTTCTTTGCAAACGAAAACTAATCTCCAATCATCATTGGCGTAATTTTCAAACCAAATTCAGCAACTCTACCTGCAGTTCTTGCACCTCCTTCTCCTGACAGACTTGGTCGCACTCTATCACAGCCTGGCCGGCTCGCACAGTCGCACACTGCACCTCACGTTTGATTCTGCGACACGGACAGGTGACCTTGACCTTACGTCGGCACAGCTCGGCGTCTGTACACGGCCCGTCGTGACACGTCAGACTGCAGCGGTGGCCACACTCATACTGTACAATACATCACCATTGTACAAAGTATATTTATCACAGTTTTTGCCCATTTTGTGTTCTCTCTTTTGTGTTATAACTTTTAACCCCCATTACTTTGGGCAATGGAAGAAGTGTGTTGAGATGAGCAAAAGTTCAAATATACATGGTACAAAAGTCGAGCATTAAGAAAATGGTCCTTTTTATTTCACAAATACAGTGAACCACACAAAATTCAAATGGTTTAGTATTAAATAAATTAATAATTAATACATTGCAGATAAAAGTAGTAAATAGAAAGTTTTGATACCAGTAATAAGACTGCTAATCCAACAATAAACTCTTTCAAGCCTTTTATCTCATGAAATTCTTAGCCTAGCTGATTGATTGCCAAACTTAAGGAAAATGTGTTCAAGTAAAGAGGTCTGCACTGTTTCCATAAAAAGTTTAAATAACATATTCCCTGTAAGGGAAATTCGCTAAAAGCAAACATTTGTTTGGGTGACACCTAAGGGAGTATGTTTTATCAATGGTGACACTATCACACCTAGAAAATGAAAGTAGCCATGTTTATAGTAAAGGCAGTAAAGAGTAAAAATCAGAGGATGAAAAGCTTAAACAATTGTCAACAGATATATATAGGCAAAAATAAATTCATTCACAACAAATTTGAGTAATGTATTGAGTTACTGTAGTTGTACCACGGTCCACCAACATTTCTTTTGGTATTGGCAACATGAATCGTCCAATGTTTTTTTTTTCTACGCCAGAGGCATTTGGCATTTCACGAGAGAGTCACAAGAGAATAAATGTTTAGTGGATGTGCCGGGGATTGAACCCGTAAATCCCACACCGTAGTCCGAGACGCTAACCACTAGGCTAGCAACACAACCAATAAAATCAACACACAACTTCACATCACTACATTTTTACTTCTGTCAAGAAGGTAGAGGGCCCAAATGTTAGAGATGGCCTGATCTAAATAAAGCCCTCTGATTGGTGGAGTGATTTTAGACTTCACAGGAAATATTTTAATCGACACTCCACTTCCTACACTTCTCACAAACGTTACCATGCTCTGACAGTCAGATTTCCATACCACTTAAATGAAGTTTTTATTTTAAAATATGTGTGTCATCACTAGCAACACCAAAACATCGATCTTAAACATAAAATTAAAAAATTTGGTACACTTCCAACTTACATTCTTGGGACACTGGTTGCCACAGGACAGCATTGCAGATCTCTCAGAGTCTGAGGCCGAGGTCCACTCTCCGCACCTGAGGAACAGCTGGTTGATGGTGCAGTGACAGCGGTGGCGTGTCAGGGCCTGACATGGGGCGCAGGGGGGAGGGTGACAGCCAGCAGTGCAGGGGTGAGTGCAACCCTCAGGCCGCGGGAATGTACACTGACTAGCACAAGGCTCACAGTTGCTGCCTGCCTCCTGTCAACAACATAATGAGTGAAAACTGTGACAGAAATACTACAATGCTTTGGTCGAAATATCAACTATAGTTATGAATTCTAAATCACCACTTGTGAGTAGGGGGTTATGTTCTTCAAATTACAGTGCACTTAATCTCATTCCCCCCTTATCCAAAAGTTGGCACCATCTGATTTAGACACAAAAATGAAGGGGGAGTTTTCAAAAACACAAATTGTGTGTAAAAAATTAGTAAATTATAGTACGAGGGATGCATTTACAAAATCTGGAATGCTTGAAATTCTTGTCCCTGAGTTGTTTGTTTACATGGATATGGACAAAGTTGCGTACATGTGTAAGTTAACAAAGTTGTGTCCAAACCAAATCAATCCAGATGAGAGATAAATCACTTTCAAAGAAAGAAGGTAAAGGACGTGAATTAACAGTGGAACTTATTGTCGCTTGCAAGATGAAGGGGCGTAAGTACATAGGCTTATCATGTGTATTTACACCCCTATGTTTTGCAGGCTTGGTTGTATTAAGTGTGGCCATGAATTGCAAATTAATGTTAAACAAATATAACAATAGTAGAAAACTTGCACACTAGAGCTGACCTGCAAGCTAGGAGCGTTGAGCACTTGGTGACAAGCGGCGCTGCATGAGTGGTTGCCACAGGACAAGTATCTGCCACACTCTCGGCCACAGACATACGGCACGGCTCTGTAGCACGGCACATTGGTCACCTGCGGCAAGACACATCCGTTACAGGGAGGGAGAATAGTACGTATAATGAATACTACATAGGAACTGGATACACAAAACAAGTTACTTACTGTGACCAAAAGAAGATTTACACAGGATGTGTACAAATCAAATTCCCCAATTTAAATCGTAGACGATTGGAAAAGAAAAAAATAGCAACATTCATAAAAACCCTCAATCACATTGATCATATGGGGGAAGACATTTTAACAGGTAATCCGGTTTAAAATACTAAACTAAATTTTAGAAATACCAATACCGTTAATTAAAATGTGAGGCATTGTCGCCACTGATGGGAGGCAGGTCCGCCATACTAGCCTGTCACTGGGGATAGGCAAAGCAATGCAAACTTCCATTGGTTATTGTTAGTTTGACCTAGCCACTTGTGCATTTAGAAGGATGGGGTTTGCTTGAATTTTCAGGATAAACATTTTACTAGTGTACGGTACGCTTTGTTCACAGTATTTTTGTTGGTGTATCCCAGGTATTTCACCCACGCTTTTTTCCTGCAATTCGCAGTACTAGGGCCCTGTTAGCAATTTTATTCAATTCTGATCTGTAAGTTTCTTGAAGATTTACGTCCACAAGTAATGGAGTGCAGTACAGTAGAACCTCGGTTAACCGAGGTAATTGGGACCGAGGGTACCTCGGATACGGCGAACCTCGGATAACACGGAACGTAACCTAAAAATCGTTACCGGGGCTAAAAATAGCTCAAGATATACTAAAACATGAACAAAAGTTATTAACTGAACTGTTGTTTAGTTTATTAGTACAAGAAATGTTATTAGTACGCAATAAAACGTGAGAGGAAACGGTAACACTCACAATACTAAACACTGTTTTAATATAACACTCAATTTATTGCACAACTGAATACGTATGATATAGGCTACACAATGTACAGAAGTTTAGTTACAGTACAGTATTCCTGTTTACAAAATTAAATCAAAGAAATGAAAATTAATTTACTGTACATTGTACAAAAATAAACAAAGTAAGCTAATCTTTTTTCCCAAAGAAATCAGTTATTGTTTTTTGACTTAGATTAGAGGATCTTAGGCTAGCCGCCCTGTTGCGCCAGCGTCGCAGCCAAACTAAATCGTTTGTTGTTGCGGTTTCTTGTTGTTCAATGTATGCCAGTGCTCCCTCGATCATTCTTAGACCTTCTGTATGTGATATTTTCTCAGTCACCCCATCAGGTTCATCGCTGTAAAAAAAAACCTTTGTTTTACGTAACCGTAACGCAATCAAAAGGCAGCAGTTGGAATTGGTATGAAATTAGTTTTGGATTGATGAATGGGCAACATTTAACTAAAGTGTAACAAATATAGTTGTGTTAAAAAATTGATGTTGGATTATGTTTTTATGTTAAAATTTTGCATAAATAAAAAATCAAAAACTTACTTGTCATCATCTTCTGGTTGGTTGAGCATCTGGATAATCACGTCATCAGTTAGGGCCTGATCCTCATCTCCATTGATCCATACACTGATGTCCTCTGCACTGATGGGCTCAGCCACTGGAAGATGGTTACAAAGATCCACGAGCTCTTCATTTTCAGGAGGACATGCTCTTGGCTGGTTTTCAGGAGCAGCTGTCTCTTGGCGGCTTGCCTTTTCAATTCCGAAAAGTTTGCGCCATGACCTTCTTATAGTGTCCTCCCAACGTTATCCCAAGCTTCTGACACCCAGTAGACAACATCTTTCATTGTGATTAACTTGAGAGCATCAGTGACACCCAGCCCGTCCTCTAGCTTCTCCAGTAGATTTCTAAGCAGCCTCTTTTTGTAGTTTCGCTTAAAAGTTTCTAGAACTCCCTGGTCTAGAGGCTGGATGAGGGCAGTAACGTTTGGAGGCAAAAATAAGGCTCTAATGCCATCGCTAACTAGCTCATCAGCATCTGGATGGGACGAAGCATTGTCAAGAATAAGAACGGCCTTGCGAGGGAGTTTTTTGTTCTCCAAGAAAGCTTCAACGACTGGAACGAATTCCTCAAAAAACCATTGGTTGAAAATCCGCGAGTCCATCCATGCGTTTTTCTGGTTTGTGTATGTGCTGGGAAATGTGTCCACATTAGTATTTTTAAAAGCACGTGGCTTTTTATACTTGCCTATTACAACTGGTTTGAGTTTCAAACTTCCTGCAGCATTGGCACATCCTAAAACTGTAACTCGATCTTTAGATTTCTTATACCCAGGAGCTGATGTTTCCTGCTGACTGGCTAAAGTTTTTGAGGGCAACATTCTGAAGTTAAGGCCTGTCTCATCACAGTTGAATATTTGATCGGATGTAAGACCCTCACTCAAAATCAATTTTCTTATTTTTTCTTCAAAAACTGTCACATCAGTTTCATTACCTGAAAGTTTTTCCCCAGATATATTAAGTTGCCGCACTCCATAACGGTTCTTCCATTGCATTAACCACCCGGAACTAGCGGTAAAAGGTTCATCACCATCGCCAAAAGATTTATGGAAATCTAGCGCTTTTGCCTGCAAAATAGGCCCACTTATTGGACTTCCCCTTGCTCTCATTTCCGAAAACCATAAGAATAAAGCCTCGGAAGTTTTTTCATACTCACACTTTTTAAACGTTTTTCTCTCTGAATTGCAATTGGAATTTAAGCTCTGAGCACCCCATTTTTCCAACTCAGCCCTCTTCCTCCTCCAATCTCCGACGGTAACCTCACCAACACCCAAGTCTTTAGCGACTGTTCTTATTGACTCACCATTGTCCAGACGACGAATCGCATTTAGTTTAGTCTCTAAGGACACAACGACACGTTTGCGTTTAGCACTCATTTACACCTACTGTAACTGCACTTAAACACACAATAAAAAAACAGTGATAGACACTTGACTTGTAAAAGTAAACAAAGGACTGCCACTGAGACGAAATGGCGTCTTCGGGCAGACCGATGATGCACGAACACATCCGAGCTGAAGCTGTACACCAGGACAGCCCACTAGATGCGCAATAAGCTACGGAGTCGAATCGGGGTGGTGGGGAGAGCGAGTGGCTCAGTCGCGTCTCGGCATTGGTGAAACAGTTCGCATTGGTCCGGCGGCGAGCGGTGTCGGGTTACAACACCTGCAGCTGCTCTGGCGAGCGGTGTCGGTTGACAGTGCCGTATGCAATCGGCAAAGATAAGCGCTAAGCTACGCAAATATTTGGCCGAGGAAACACAACAGTTGCCAACATTTTACTGTACAGTAGTTTTAACGCATTGCAGGCTAGCGTGCGTATTGCGATAAAAGGAGCACCCAAACGCTCATTACTGTACGTAGTTTGTGCGTGTTTCTTTTGCTTTTTAAATAAAAAAAATCGTCCGAGGACGGCCTCGGTTAACCCGGAGTCTCGGTTAAGCGAGGCTCGGTTAACCGAGGTTCTACTGTACACTGTGAAATATTGTTCTGTCTGGAAGTACAAAATGTCATAAGAGACAGAGTGTTTCGGACGCCTGTTTTACGAGACCAACATTCAGACAACATTCAATTCTAAAGAAGTGATAGAAATTGTTTTCAACCATTCCAGAGAGAATTCAGAGAATTATTTATGTTAAATTCCATTTTTAGCCCCTGAGCTGTGATAGTAATTAAAAGTAGATATTTACCTTCGTCTACAGCTCAAACTGTTGTAACTTGAGTTATGGCCATTTCGGCATCATAAATTGAAATGGCCGTAACTCGAGTTACAACAGTTTGAGCTGTAGACGAAGGTAAATACCTATTTTTAATTATTTATAAATGTAATGTACGGATAAGCTGAATGCTTACCTCATGGCCTCCAAGACAAGAGACGGAGACTGATTCCCAACAATCCCCACACGGGAGAGCTCTCAACTCTAGCTGGGGCTGAACCTGCAACAAACAACAACAGTACATTTCATGGATATAATTCCAAATAAGTGCTTTTAAATTGTGTTTTCAATTTTTTTTTTAGTTTAGAAGTTCCTTAGCGTATGTGTCTAAAGGAAACTAAAAATTTTAAATTAAAAGTCATTATGTAGACTTTGAACCGTTTAATTGTTTAATTAGACAATTATAAGGTAAATACCTTCACGTCAACAGTTCAACAAAATTTTTTCGTGCGTTGTTATGTGTGTATTTATTTGATTTCATTGACAAGTCTATTATTGGATGAAACATTCTTGGTAAGGAGACCACAATTGAAAATTCCTCAATAGGCTAAATATGCTGTATACTGTATTGAACTGTTGACGTGATGGTATGTACTGTCATACAATAGTCAAATCTAAATATTGTAGTTTTTCATTTTTTAACATTTTCTTCCCATTCTAGAACTAGCTGAGGGTAAAAGTTTGATTAAAAGTGAGTTTGCAATAATTTGAGCTTTTTTACACCTAGCTTGTAAAATAGTCCAGTGTACTTGCCGCATCTGCTTTATTGCAACAGTATAAGTAATATTAAAAAATCCCTGAGGAAAAATTGACTGTCAGCAACTATACACTCCACTCATCGGATGTTAAGCAAACTATAACTATGTTAAATAACTATAACTATGTTAGAATATATCGTAAAGCCATCCAAGTGTACTCAAATTTGCTTATGCACAGTCACAAGAGGTATTAATTTTAATAATGGGGAAGACCGCTTATAACAGTAGTAGGCTAGTACGATGAACTTCTCAAATCTGTTATTTTAATCGATGACTACTAGGTAAATTCGTCCTGTGTAATCGAGCCTTAACACTAAACAACTCACCAGCTCCCAGGGGCCGGCAGGTTTGATGTTGTCTGCTACATTGACCAGCACAGCCGAGTGACACAGCTTGGGGCAAAGATGGGGGCAATTCTGGCGGGGCAGGTCACAGATCTGACGACACACAGGGCACGAGCCAAAGTGACAGTAGTGGAAGTCTCTCTCCGCGTGGTGACAGTCCGGGGGGATTCTGAAATTAACAAATACAACTCAGGATTCTGAAAGAGCTGGTGAATCAAATCTATTTGAATATATTTAAAACTAAGTGGAAAAAGGCAAGTGAAATTTTTGGGTTTCAAGTTATTTTTAAATATGTTACATACCAATTGCAAGAGATTTTTAAGATAGACACACCCTTAACGATAATTGTATTACGCAGTTAATCTTTCATACATTTTCTACTTCATCCCACAATTTTAATTCAATAATCGAATGTCTTACTTAACATGTTCAACCCAATGATTGCTGGTTGATACCTGCAAGGCTGTAGACAGCGTGGCGGTCTAGTTTTCCTCTCTCTACCGCACGGCACAGTCTTGGCAGTGGTGCCACAATGACACTTGACTTGCACAGTGATATCGCACGGGTAGCACTGGCCTCGGTGACACACACTCGCACACTTGTGGTGGCCGCAGGTCAGAGTGCGACTACACGGCTTCTCGCATGGACCACAGTTGCCGTCACAACACTACCAGACAAAACAAATCAAGTTAAAATATGATAAATGAATTTACAGTATAAGAAATACAAATGCACTCAACAAACAGATATGGTTTTGTCTCGGAACCTATTAGCATTGATTTTTAGGACCGAAAAGGATATCCTAACTATATTGACCAGCTTTAGCCAGTTTTAGCGAATTTCCCTATAGGGAACCTAGCTATTACTTTGTAAACATACACTCGTAGCCGATATATGTATAACATGATAAATCAAGCACTTTTTGATGAAACTTGGCAGTAAGGTGTAGAGTTGGACAATCTTAATTGAATAATGGGTTTTTGAATTTATACCCTTAAAACATGCAGCCAGCGTGTGACTCAAATCATACCGGGTTAAATTGTAACTGGCTAAATCTTTGACATGAAAATGAAATAATGTCTAGTTCTATTTACAGCTAAAGCTAACTATTAAATATATGCCTATATGTTAATCGGGAATGTGAGCTATCATCATGCCAAATTTCAGCCCAATCCGTCCAGTGGTTTATGCGTGATTGAACTTCAAACAAACAAACACACAAACTTTCACATTTATAATATTAGTAAGATTACTTTTAAAATTAGCAGATTCATATATAACTTATATATAGCAAGCGAGAACTAAGATTTGATTTATTTCTTTAATCTTATAGTTAATATTAGGCCAAAAAGAAATAATTCTACAATAAAATCACAACAAAGGTGGTTTTAGTTTGTGAAAACTAAATGTGTCTTGAAAATACCTTTCTATTGCAAGGATGCCGTTTGCAATCTTTGATTCTTTTGCACTTGGTCTCGCACAAAAATTCTTTTTGACAGGGAACTTCTTTGGTATGCAGTCCACAACGGCATCTCTTCTCCACACGTTCAAGACACTGGGGAACAAAATTATAACCACTTGTTATTACGAGTACTTCAAGCCATTTACCAGTACTAGTTTGAAATACAATCTTAAAGATTTTTGTATATATCACAAAAATATTCTGATAAAAACAAGATTGAAATAAATTCTAAAATGAGCTATCTCTTTAAATTAATTCTTTTGAGTCATTCAAGTGATGTTGTTTCAACAGCTGTGCGTAATTTGGTATCAAAGAAATATTTGGAGATGGTAGGTAAATGAAACAGCGATTTCGTTGATAAATGTGATGCAAGAATCCCCTCTTCAGACCTCACTGCTGACCATCTCATCCATCGGTAGGATTCTAGATGGTGACGCAGGGTACCTAATTGGGCACTTCTACACTGCAGAAACAACTAGAAATACATATACGTATAAGACTGCTCAAAAAGAATTTGGTAATCTAACAAGAAACAACTAAAAATGTATGTGGCATTCTTTATATATAGTAGTAGTGATGATCAAAACCAAAAATTTCAAACCACCAAATCAATACATAAAAATCAAATCCCAAATCTCTACACCTAAACGCAAAAATATTTTAATTAATTTAGGTACCTGTTTAGGATACAACAAAATACCTGTAATAAATATAAGTTTATTATGTAATTAAAACCAAAAAATTGGACTGCTGCTGACCATGACGTAATATTATGATGAACATCAATTATGTATTATGTGTTAATATTAGTTACAGCTGTATCCAGTCAACTTAGTACACTTAGAACATATTTTTGATAAACAACAAACTCTAAAATAAATTTAACTCCCGACACCGACATCAAAATAAAAAGTATGAATGACTGAATGAGAATAGTAATCCTACTACTTTAAACCTACTTACATCAATTTTGATAAACAACAAACACTGAAATAAATTAACATCTTGAATCTAATTATTTATTCAATGGTCAATATTTGTGACCAAAATTATCGGTAGTTTTGGACTTTCGAACGTCGCAACTCTCCGAATGAGTCTTAAAACTCACTGATAGAATCACAAAATTTAAACTTTTTCCTAGTTTGGCGGTCTTGAGATTTGAGATTCGGTGTTAACAAATCACTGGAAGCCAGCTGTGTTACACCTAAAACTCACCACTCCGCATTTATCACGATGGCATCTTTGTGAACACGGATGTACGCCGCAGTCCAACAATCGTCCGCAAGTATCACCACACGTCGGCGGCTCTAGGGTACAAGCCAGCTCGTAGGTGGACTTGCCGCAGGGACATGTCCGTGGCAACATGCCGGGGCACTCACCACAGGCACCTCCGTGACAAACTCTCTCACAAACATGGCTGCCACAGGACAACTGCTTGCCACATGCCTGCAATAGTCATGCATGAGTAAAAAAGCATGTAATTTGAATCTTTTGTATTATTTTCAATATCAAATTATTTATTTTCTTTAAGTTAAAAAATCAGAAAAGGTACGAATGGTACTGAGATGTCATGAACTAACAATAATATTGTCTTCAGCTGATCCATAAGGATGAAAAATCTACTAAGGGAGTATGTTTAATTAATGGTGATAATTAACCAATATTTTTGGGTTTGGGCTAAAAGCTAAGCACGATCCAAGCATATTTAAGACTTACAACACTATAAGAGATTTCATAAGATTGACCATTTTCTAGTTCCATACACAACTCAGTGAAACACAAACTCACTCGGTCACATTGCCAGTTAGGACTCGCACATTCCCTCTCCTGGCTGTCTCGGCCGCACTGGCACTGTTGTACAGAGCGGCGTGGGCATGGTGCGCACGGCCCTGCGTGGCACGGCACAGCACACTTGTGTCGTCCGCAGCCCAGCAGACGACTACACGGCGCACCGCACGACCACTGCGGTCTGCTGCAGCGTTGTGGCCGAGGAGCACTCTTACCACAGTGGCACGCAGTCTTCACTGTCTTGGGGCAAGGCGGACATGGCCCTGTAAGATAGATTAGGAGACTGATATAAAATATCATTCACTTTGCAATGTGAAATATGGATTTGAAGTCATAAAGATACACAATTTGTATGGTTTAGTTATTATGGTTATCATTCACTGTGTCACTGTTTCAGCGAGGGCAACTAGGCATTTTAACTTGAACATAAAAATGAGGATGAAAATAATTCATGAGGGCTCATCCACCCCATTATTAATAGCCTACAAAGATGTAAATACAAAACTATCAGTAGTTTTTATTTTATTGACACAATCCATCTAGCTTAGCTGGTCTCGGTGAAGGACGTAATAAGGTTTTTAAAAATGATTATACATAAATAAAAATAAACAAATAAACGTTCCTGTATGGCGTACCTGGGTGACACAACAGTAGACAGTGGTGGCCACAAGCCGGACTGAGGGGTTTGTTGCAAGTCTCGCCACAAGAGTGCGGCACCAACCACGGGTGATACACCGGGTCCTCCGCTCGTCCACAGAAACAGAAGTATCGGAAAGGGATGTCCGTCTGCTCATAGCCCTCTCGGCACTTTGGACTGTGATGGAACAGAAAACTTTGTTAGCTTGAGCTGGTTTTTGGTCTCATATTTGTAAACAGTCATCTGTACCATAGTTCATAAATAGTATTTTTACGAGTCATTGTTAACGGGAACATAGAGATAAATTTTAATAGTTGAACTGATATAAAGATTGCCGTCTCTGATAACAATATGCTACATTCTGATTGATGGAAAGATTTTAGATTTTATTCCTGAGAATACTTACCATGCCCAAGTGATGTGAGGCAGAGACTGACCCCGTGGTCTGTCATCTAGAGCTGCCTTCTGGTGAGCAACAGAGTCCTTGGCCCATCTCTGGATACATTGCAGGTGGAAGAAGCCCCAACAGTTATTACAGCTCCATATCTGTAGTAAAAATAAAAAAATAAGATAAAAACCAAGAGTTGGACCATATGCAAAATAACTTACGATTTATTGTACTAGGATTGGTTTCATGGTCAAATTATCATAATACAAAATATACACGTACAAATTTGGGGATACAAAGTAACTATTTGGTATGAAGGGTCCCATGTTTAAATTACGCATATTAATTGGGTTCAAAATTGGTTCCCCAAGCAAAACAAATCCAATTCAACATCCTATTACATTTCAAAGATTATCTTTGTTAAGATGGTTAGTAGGTGAATAAAACTACTGATTTACAAATTACAATCAAGTAAATTTCTTGGTTTTAAACCTACACCATAAAGAGTGGTTTACCTACCCTCACTCAGGTTACATATTTGATCAAAAATGCATCCAACTTAAAATCCATTTTCATAAGCCGTTTTGTTACTTGTTTACTATCTGACTTTGGTTAAACATTCAACTAAATAATTAGCTGTTAAATTATGATTCAAGTTTATTCTGGTATAGAGATAGGTTAGGCGGTTGTTATCTTATTATTTTTATATTATGGTATTGGATTTATAGATTTTCATAGATCTAAAATAACATTTCAAAGTTTTTTATTCAAGATTTTTATTTTATTTCAAACACATTAACGAGCCTAAAACTTACAATAAGTCATGGTTAATCCTTCCAATTAAATTTTACTTTACCTGTGCCTAATTATTTGACCAGAATATAGTTTTTTGTTAATATCTCATGTTATGTTCAGAATACTTACAGAATCATTTCTCCTGACTGTGGCAATGCAGACCAAACAGATCGCCGCTCCTGACTGGAATGCGTCTTCGAGAAAGTTTTGAGTTCGACCAAGGTCTTCATTAGTTCCTCCCAAAGAGGCGTAGGATTTTAAAACTGATCCTGTAAAATGTCACAGCTTTTGGATAAAATTATATCAATCAATGTTGCAACAGATATATTTAAAACCCCATACTATGCAAATTTCCATTTGCCTGATTAGACTTTTACATAAATATTTCCTTAAGTCAGATAATTTTATTCCCAATTTAAATAACGTTATTGTCAACAAGTAAGTAGGCTACTTAGGTTTGCTGCTACAGGGAGGTTAAAAAGTATCAGTAAAATGTTAGGAGTTTAGTATTAAATAAATAAATTTACCAAGTTTGATTAATATTATACGATAATAGCTTATTTCCTACATGGAAAATTCACTATAAATACATTTCATTAAATTAAATGTATTAATTCCCTATGCTCCCTTCATCTCTGTTTACTACACATTTCTATTTTTATTTTATCTGAATTCTGCCATCTTTTATGATGTTTAACGATTTAAAGCCATTAATAACTATACCGGTACTGTGACCATCGTAAAAAAGTACCTATTATAGCAAATTCAACACAGCTATCTATGAAGGGTGATTATTATTGTTGATAAAATCAATAATTACAACATTATTGCTTAGAGAATGGAATAAATTTATCTTCACTATCCAATGAATTTAAGCTTAAAAATTAAGAATACCTATATGGTAAGACTAAATGTTACTCAATTAGGCATTTAATAATACTTTTTTTATTATTTTTTATGCACAACTAAAAATATTGATTCATAGCACAAAAACATTGGTTGATAAGTTATTTTTGATACTTGAGATATCAACATAGACTCTGCTATCTTAATACACGTTGATGCTATGTTAAGATTGCAGTCATAACTTAGGCATCTGTAAAAAACTATTTGAAATAATAATTACATGAGCATGACTGTACCACTCAAATCTTTAAAAATACTGCTGTTTTCTTTTAATAAAATGTAAAACATTGTAACACCTCACCTAATAATAGTTTGAGATTCACAATATTTCACATTTTTAAGTAAGGAAAGTTACCTTTAAAAAAACCATCATTACCGACTTAATAATAGTTTGTTTAAGGTACCTACTGTACATTAAAAAGTAACACTAAATAACACAACTAGGCCTAATCTCTTAACTTAAAATATTTTTTAACATTCACAACAAGGTAGGCCTAATTATTAGAAGCATCATTAAATCTCACCAGAAAACTTTTAGAATCATCAATGACGATGTTCTCCGTTGTAAAATACACGCTGAAAATTATGATCCATTGAAAATACCGTGCCCAAAATTTATGCACGATTAAAGCGCTAACATATAATAATACAATTGGCTTCCTAGTTGTAACTTAAGGGCATGAAACAAACCTAAAATATTGTTGCACTCCAGATCCTCTTCCTCAGATGACGATTCGTAGCCTGTTGATTTGTGTTTATCCACGGCTTGTTGCATGTGCATCTTTGCCTTTTTAAACTTATCTTCAGCCGCAGCATTTCTGTTGGCATCATTGCTGCGATTATTCTGTGGCTGGTTGCCTCTCCCTCGCCAAGGGTTGCCTTTCCCCCGTCCGTCTCTAGCACTCATATTCTATACAAATTTTAAAAGTATTTAGCTTAATAGGCTTCATAAAAACAACAAGGAGATGGTAGTAATATAAATAAATGCATAAAAGCAGAATCCCAACTCAATAGAGAATCAGAAACCAACAAACTGAACGGAAATCCACCTATCTACTGAGACTTGAGGCTTTTCCTAACAAAACGGAAGACATTTTCGGATAAGATAAAGCACACAAAATAGTGTAGGCCTAGAGGAAGGAATGACCATTAACTTAATTAAAAAGTATTTTGAGCAGCCTATACTGGGCTACAACTCCTCAGCATTAGACATAATAACAGGGTCATAAGTTCTATACACAATGCTTCTTCTAGGTACCTAAAGCTTTTTAAATTATAAAAAATAAAAAATTCTCAAGAAAATAAGAGTGGTCTGTGTTCATCAATAAAATATAAAAGTTTTGTTTTACTGGCCTATGCTTAGCTATGGCTGGGTATCCGAGTGGTTATTAGTTATGTGACAAGTTGAGTTGACTCGTGTCATGAGCCAACTCGATTCAACTCATTCACAACATGAGTTGGACACAAACTCGTACGGAGATTGCCGTAACTACACGTAGGCCTACTGAATTCAGAGGCAAGAAACCGAACTCATAAGGAGAAAGCCGAACCTCCACAATTGTGAAACTAAAACGCTATTGGCTAAATGTAAGTCGAGCCGTCTCGCAAAACTAACCCTATTGGGTGCGCTGCGAGTCAACCTGAACTCGCCAAATGAAGGCCGAAGTTTCACAGTGATACCGAGTTGAGTCTGACTCGTCGAGTTGCAAATTGAGTTAAAATAGGCCTAGGCCTAGCCTAATCGTGTCGAGTTTAATTTAATTAGTCAAGGAAACACCTGTAGGGGACTTGACTCCTCACATCACTAGTGGTAATAGTGCTCGGCTAACAATCAAAAGGTTGCCAGATTGATCATGAGAGGTCAGTTGCTTTTTGATGGTTCGAAACTGGACCCTCCCGGCAGTTCCTGATCATAGGGCTTTAAGTTACCCGGGTTTATTATCCTTATAGTCTCTTTTCAATACATTACCTACTTTAATTAAAATGCATAACCTCAAAAGGCTACAGCTAAAACAAAAATAATTTATGGAAACTAATAAATCATACTTACGGAAATTGGGCTAGGCCTACTTAGATTGTATGCTTGACATTATCCATATTGTAGGTTATAGGCCTAATCATAATCATTTTTAAGGCATTATCGTTAAAACCGGAGGAGACAAAAATGTGTAAGTCTGCTAAACAACTGCATTGCATTATCATTCATTATTCATTGCACGTTGGTTTGGTTCGGTTAGATTATCTCGGTCGGCTCTCGGTCACACATCCACATCACACAACACCGACCAAACACAACACAACACATCATCGTCGTTGTCGTTTCGTCGTCGGTTCGGTTTCGGTATCGGTTCCGTTCGGTTGGTATCATTTTTTAGTTCAAGTCAAATCAAGTTCACACCTCCACTTCACGTTCACGTCCACATCGTTGATCTTTGATTGTTCCGCCCATTGCGGGTTCAGGTTCCGTTTGTCGATCTAGTTGTGGTGCTACCCAGGGCTACTGGGTGCTGGCGCTGGTGCTACCCCATTGACTATTTATGCTATTAGTCAATGGTGCTACCCCATGGTGGAATGTTCCTAATTATATGATAGACCAAAAATCTATTCGTAATCATAATGACCATTAGGTATATATAGTCAATGCCTTTAATTCAATGCCGATGTTTGCGGACATTAGACCATAGATTAATCATGCTAGAGTATAAGTCATTTCATGGAGTAAATTTAATCTACGATCAGGCTGAAATCACAGACAATATAATACTTTAATGTAATTACTTTAATTCCATTGTCTGTGCTGAAATGTTTGCATGGACTGTTTCTTTTTTTTCGCTGCCACCACACACCAGGCTGAAGATAGCTGACGTTCCATCTGACGGCCTGTTTTTTTGCCCATTTGATTTATGACAGGCCGAGTGGTAACTGGATGGAATTCAAAATATAGTAGACCTCCATGTGGATACCTTTGGAAATGTAGTTTGCTATTTTATATTTTGATTAAAATAAACATTATTAATTTCATCGGTTAGACCACGTTGTATGTATGTATCTGTAAAACTGATGTACGTTTTCGTGTTAAATATGTACCGGTAAATTGTTTAGGACTACTTCACTTCTACATAATAATTCAGATATTATTATTTATATTAGAAACTTATGGGAGAAAGTATGTGTCAGAATGCTGATACCGTTTATTATTTATATTAGAAATGATGAAATACATTTTATTCAAAAGAATCCAGGTCCCAGGTAGAGTAGGGGGTAGAAATTGCAATGCGCCCTAAGCCTAAGGCCCCGGGTACGATACGAGCGGCGAGCGGCGAGCGGTGAGCGGCGAGCGGCATGAGCGGCGCCGCTCTGACATCGGGTCTCATTTAGTTGCGTGTAAATTTGTGGAGGGTGGCCACGATACGTCTGAGCGGCGAGCGGTGGTGAGCGGCACCGCTCAGCGCCGCTCATGGTTCCAAGTCAAACCCGATTTTCGCGAAAACGCCGCTCGCCGCTCAGGTGAGTCATGCTTCAGTTCGGCCTAAAATGACAGGGAAACATCAGCAAACATGCGATCCGGGTCGATACGTGAGGTGCAGTCCAGGGAATGTTTGTGCAATGATCATCACGGAAGTTTTAAAACACTTCAGTCACCAGAAAAGTATGGGACCAAGTTAGGGTTAAGGTTTTTAAAAAAATACTAAGTTTTTTCTTTAAAGGCAAACAATTGTCAGATAGCAACAATAGTTGCAATCATTCTTGCAGGTAAGCATAGTTTACCATTTTCGACTAAACTGACTCATAAAACTGGGGAAATTTGATGAGCGTTATAAATGTGCCGCTCGTATCGTAGCCACCCCCACCGCTTACGTGCCGCTCAGGTTGCCGCTCGCCGCTTGCCACTCACCGCTCGCCGCTCGCCCGGCCTTAGGCCTCGGGTACGATACGAGCGGCGAGCGGTGAGCGGCAAGCGGCGAGCGGCAACCTGAGCGGCACGTAAGCGGTGGGGGTGGCTACGATACGAGCGGCACATTTATAACGCTCATCAAATTTCCCCAGTTTTATGAGTCAGTTTAGTCGAAAATGGTAAACTACGCTTACCATCGTGGCCACCCTCCACAAATTTACACGCAACTAAATGAGACCCGATGTCAAAGCGGCGCCGCTCATGCCGCTCGCCGCTCACCGCTCGCCGCTCACCGCTCGCCGCTCGCCGCTCGTATCGTACCCAGGGCCTAAGTGGAATGTAAAGATTCAAAACATCCAACTCGAAATGCATACCACTTAGGTGAACGCTGAACTCCCAAAACATATGAGCAAGAATTTACCTGGAAAGGTGGATGGCCTTATTGAAATCACCCAGAACTGAAAATTAGCTTGAACTTAAATTATAAACGTACACCTCCCAACTAACTAAAATATTATTTAGCATTCTTAATTTTGGTATTTTAAGTCGATACGGGTATTGTTTTTGGCTACCAGTAAATAAGTAAAAAAAATGTATTACAATTATTATTGTATGTAAATTACATTATGATTATTAGTACATTATGTGTGACATTATTATTATATGTAAAAGAAGTTATGTATTAAATAACAAACAATGGTACCAATATGTGACTATCACAATATTATAGATATCAGTGTTTACTACTGATATATATTATCAAAACCCTTGACACTTTCCAGGAAGTTGATTTATCACGCGTTGAAAATTAGGTTTTGACTCGTGATCCGACATGTGCGGGTCTCGGGATCTGCGAGTTAAAGTTGTCATTTTCGATTTGTTATTATGTAAGAACAAACAATGGTACCAATATGTGACTATCACACAATTATAGATATCAGTGTTTAATACTGTTATATATAATCAAAACTCTTGACACTTTCCAGGAAGTTGATTTATCAAGCGTTGAAAATAGGTTTTAGCCGGCGATACGGCATGTGCGGGTCTCGGGATCTGCGAGTTAAAAAGTTGTCATTTTCGATTTGTTATTACGTAACAACAAACAATGGTACCAATATGTGACTATCACTCAATTATAGATATCAGTGTTTAATACTGTTATATATAATCAAAACTCTTGACACTTTCCAGAAAGTTGATTTATCAAGCGTTGAAAATTAGGATTTGGCTCGTGATCCGACATGTGCGGGTCTCGGGATCTGCGAGTTAAAAAGTTGTCATTTTCGATTTATTATTACGTAAGAACAAACTATGGTACCAATATGTGACTATCACACAATTGTAGATATCAGTGTTTAATAATGTTTTATATTATCAAAACTCTTGACACTTTCCAGAAAGTTGATTTATCAAGCGTTGAAAATAGGTTTTAGCCGGCGTTAGGGCATGTGCGGGTCTCGGGATCTGCGAGTTAAAAAGTTGTCATTTTCGATTAGTTATTACGTAAGAACAAACAATGGTACCAATATGTGACTATCACACAATTATAGATATCAGTGTTTAATACTGTTATATATAATCAAAACTCTTGACACTTTCCAGAAAGTTGATTTATCAAGCGTTGAAAATAGGTTTTAGCCGGCGATACGGCATGTGCGGGTCTCGGGATCTGCGAGTTAAAGTTGTCATTTTCGATTAGTTATTACGCAAGAACAATGGTACCAATATGTGACTATCACACAATTATAGATATCAGTGTTTAATACTGTTATATATAATCAAAACTCTTGACACTTTCCAGGAAGTTGATTTATCAAGCGTTGAAAATAGGTTTTAGCCGGCGATACGGCATGTGCGGGTCTCGGGATCTGCGAGTTTAAGTTGTCATTTTCGATTTGTTATTACGTAAGAACAAACAATGGTACCAATATGTGACTATCACACAATTATAGATATCAGTGTTTAATACTGTTATATATAATCAAAACTCTTGACACTTTCCAGGAAGTTGATTTATCAAGCGTTGAAAATAGGTTTTAGCCGGCGATACGGCATGTGCGGGTCTCGGGATCTGCGAGTTAAAAAGTTGTCATTTTCGATTTGTTATTACGTAAGAACAAACAATGGTACCAATATGTGACTATCACTCAATTATAGATATCAGTGTTTACTACTGATATATATTATCAAAACTCTTGACACTTTCCAGAAAATTGATTTATCAAGCGTTGAAAATTAGGATTTGGCTCGTGATCCGACATGTGCGGGTTTTGGGATCTGCGAGTTAAAAAGTTGTCATTTTCGATTTGTTATTACGTAAGAACAAACAATGGTACCAATATGTGACTATCACACAATTGTAGATATCAGTGTTTACTACTGATATATATTATCAACACTCTTGACACTTTCCAGAAAATTGATTTATCAATTTTTACCCCATAAAACCCCCTATAGACCCCTGTTCCCATAGTCCGATCATGCTGGTTCGCCTCGTTCGAATAAACATAAGTTTACACGTTTGTACCGAATTTCATCAAAATTGGAACATTTTTGCTCGAGTTATCGCGCTAACGGACGGTGTGGTGTTATATATGAACAAGAGGTTCTACCCGCGAATTCACGGGTGTACAGAAGCCACCATTTAACTTCGACTTTATATTTCATTTAAAGGGCCCAAGTTCGAGATATTGTCATCTGAAAGTAGGTTTGAAGCAGTGGAACCTTCATACCTTACGTCCTAAGGTGGCCGAGGTGGGTACGGTTGTACCTCAACTCGCCGCCCTCTTTCACGACGTCTTTATTACTTTAAAACTTTTCAATGAACTGGCGACCTATTAATGATGCGTGACAACCTCTTAGAACCAACAACATGGTTTGTTAATCTCATATTCATCGTGTTTCGAACACCTATATTCACTCACTTGTAACAAACAGCTAGAAATAGCTTCACTGTCCATTCTCAGCACCTCTTTAAAGAACATAAAAGTAAATAATAAAATAAGTAAACAAAAATGTAAATAACGTTAACTTCCAAAACATGAAAGGCGTAACCCTTTGGAAATCAGCCTGTGGGGCAGATCCCTTAGGGAATTCGTCCATATCAATACTTTTCGGCAAATCTACACTCCAAACTTAATTTTGATATGCCATATGCCTATATTTTTATTTGGTAAATAGCCTTAGCCCAATGCAACCGTCAGTCTGTTCTTGCCGGCAATTTAGGAGCGATTCGTTCATTGGAAGTCTTCCAGAAAGCTCGGTCCGAGAAAGCGATGCGCGGTTATTTGCATGATGATGACATGGTTGATTTGTACGCCATTGCAAAAGCTGATGCTAAAATGGAAAAATCAGAATGCTTTGTTCATGA